ACATGGTCGTTTAGTTGGTGCTTTGTCGGACAAATCAGTTAGTCTGACGTTGCCATATTCCAGGCAAAGAGGTGATTCAGTACTGAAATATAAGTGATTATGAACTCTGGTATGAAACAACTAAGTGTCATTTTCTGAGAATTTCGATGAATTTTTGCACAGAGCTTCCTACATCTGAATTTATCATGAAATTCCTTTCAAAAGTTTGTATTGGAAATATTATATACGGTGAAACAGAGGAATAAAGTTGACAGAAATTAGTTTCATCAAGTTGGATCTTCGACTTACATTCACCATCATGATTATTGTGTCTATATTTTCAGAGGTGTCAATAGATTTACATTTCGACTGATTATAGGAAACTGGTTGCAGAAACGTGAAATCTGGAAACAAGCACACTTCCAGCATCTGCTGTAAGAAATCTATGAGGTCACTAGGTTTACGTTGAGGATGATGTTGTATCAGTTCATATTATAACTGAAATAGAACAAATAAGCAAGCGTTATGCTGATAAAACTTAGTTTTCAGTCTTACATGACTGGAAAATCAAGGTCACCGAGGCAGAAATCCAGTTAAGAAGAAGAAGCATACGGAAAAATCCATTATTTGCAGTTACATTTTTGGATTTCACCACATTTATGTTAGTCTCCTACGACCGTTGTGCATAGCATTTTATGTAACAGTATTTTCGTCTCAAAGAGATGAAGAAAAACAAAGTTTCTACAAAAACAAAACCAAGGTTTGTTTGTTTTTTCAACTCTTTATAACTCTTGTATTACTTTTGAACTCATACGTGATAAGACCATTTTCTTGGTCTTCATATGCATCCTGATTGCAGCACATTCATTAAATTGTAGTTTTTAAGCATTAATAGTTAGTGAGGATTCTGTGTTTATTTGTCATTGAGAAACTATCTTTTTTATTGACAACGGTAATTTTTCTTTCCAGATTTGTTTCCAATCACATTTTATGTGAAACGTTAGTAAATAACGATTAAATATTGACTTATTCACGTGACAGAGGATGTATTGTTTACGGTATCCTTCACAGTCAAAATATTTGTATATTTTTGGCCAAATTTATCGTTAAAATTGAAGATGTTTCAGATGGTGTCTGAAGGCTGAGTTGTGAATATAAAGGTAATTTAAAACAACGAGTCCTTGTAACGAATTTGGATAGTGTTGTTAGATGACAGGTATCTTACAAATGTGATATATTTACGCAATACATTTCGAGTAATCTGGTCAAATGTACGCTTAAGTGTGAAATCAAATTACATAAAAGATGAGAATAATGGAAGGCCTCTCAAAATGAACTAAATCATAAGGGGTATAAGAATAAGAAAGATAATGCTTAAAACTATTTGTAAGAGCAGTTACGACTTAGTGTAGACCTCAATTCTAAACACTCTTACAAAACTTCTTCACCGTTTTATGGCCTTAGCTGTACTCTACTTAACGTGCAGATACTGACGAGCTGAATCAAGATAAAAAGACTTGGTATGACAAGTGTATCTGGGACAATTATATTTTACACAAACGAAATATGAAATTCAATCAATAAAGAGGTTGTACAACTTATCTGTCGACGTCACTGGAGGTAGGCTCAGAGAGTGTGCGGAATGAAAGCACAACGAGAGAGCGAACCGATGAACGTACGGAAGCGTCACAAATCAAAAGATGAAAGTGTGTCAAACATGGGTGAGCGAGTTTAAACAAAAGTTCAAGGGTATAACGCGCACTACATATTCTTGGTAGTATAATCAGGTGAATATCATTAGGACAGGTTAAGGTTACAAGAAGCCACTTTAAATACGACTACAATTCAAGGGCGATATACCAAGTGAGATAATTATGAGGAAATGAAGAATATCAGTTCAAAGAACTCTTAATGCTGGTGACCTATGCGTATTATTCCCTACACGACTGATGGTGCTATCTCGACTGAAAGATGAAGTGCCTAGACTAGCCACTTCAAATTATATCTACCAATTTAACTGCGCTTGTGGAGCGAGTTATATCGGCCGTTGCTCTAGGAAACTGATTTTTCGTGCTCGAGAGCATCTCCCACTATGGCTAGAAAGAGGTATAGTTAAAACCATTAACAGTTCGATACTGAACCATCTGGTGCAACCTGGCCACAAAGCCAGAATTCAAAAATCTTTCTCTATAATCTACCGGGTGCCTAATAAACTTCCAAAATAGTCGAAGCTTCACACGCTCCAAACAGCGGAGGCTATGTGTTTATGAGAAGCAAGTCCAACCCCTGCTACTGTCCTGGCCTTCAGTAGAGACTATAAATTTATGAATTTGTACTATAATCCTTCCTAATTTTCCTGACATTCAGCTTATTTTATGTTGATGCTGCTGAAATGTAATCTATCACTATTGTTGATTCGATGTTATTTAAACAACATTAATGTTGTTCATAACACTAATTCATTCATTCACTTTGATGTGTATACATAACTGTAGAGCCTGATGATGAAGTTATCGAAAAAAGTACTCTTTGTTCAGTATCCATTCTTTTGAAAATTTAAATAATAAATTGCTTCTGTATGCACACAGGGTGCTTGATTCTGTGAATGCATATCGCCTTAGCATATTTCAGCGGTTTTTGTAGGTAGTTTTGAAGTGACTTGTGTGATTCCTACCAGTGAATTATTTTGCTATAAGCCAATTCGATAGTCTGTCATCTGCAGCTGGCCACGTTTTACAGTTCATTTTTTTCCAAACTATATGTTGTGCCACTGTTACCTACAGGGAGCGATTACTGTATATATATATTCACCCAAAGGTGTAAATTGGTATACAATACACTGTGTGACGTAATAGGCTTGTGTACATCATGTTTTTGGCTTTTGTGACAACTAAAATCCAGATTGTATAGTAAATTTTACAGGTGGCAAAGTTTAGTCTATGTTTTGAAATCTGACTACTTATACCCTCATTGTGAGATAATTTGATGTAGCCATTTCCTCAGGACTAGAATAAACTGTGGGATTTTGACTTAACTGCTCCCTATACCACATCGAAAATTCCGGAGGATATAAATCTTCGACAAGTCAGCACTTTATTGTTATCACTGACTGTACAGGTACCTCCGAATCCTCTTATAATGTAATGGGCGGAAACCATAGAAAATTAGAAGCTGCTCAGTCATAGTATGCTTTTCATAAATCGATCGCCGCATTGATCCATCCTCCTTCAACTTCAGAATTATGTCTGGGAATGCAAGTTGTTTGCAACTTTTTTCTCCCATGCAAGACTGATTTGATTTTGTGCAGAGGTTGATCTGTCCAGAAGATAAGTCGCATCTTCATGCTTACTGAATACCACGATAATATAATCAACATATCCACTACTAAAATACATCTTAGGGATTGAAACAACAGACAGACTTTCAAAGTAATACAAATACACATCAACTAGGAATGGTCTTAATGGACTCTCATAGCACCGACATGCACTTGTCAAATGTGCTGACCTTCACAAGTAAAATGAACGTTCTCAGTACAGAGAAGTAATAAACCTTTTAGATATGTCCGAGGAATACAGAGAGAATCCTATTTTTTTTTAAAATAATTGCCTGGTTAATCTGACTGAAATTATAAGATTTGTTTGGTTTTTTCCCGGTCACCTTACTTTACATGGAAGCGCATATTACTTTGTAGTGCTAAAACACTACTCTCTTTTTTCTAAGCCCTTCTCATAAGATTTCATCAGATAATCTCTAAGTTAAAAGTCAATTTGGAATTAATTTATCTAATGATAGGTGCTTGTGAAGCAAACGAAAACAGTATTTCAAGTGTTCCTTTTGGGCGAGTGTGTCTTTATTGGGATTAATAGGAATCCATTATAACTAGAATAGTCATAGTGTTCTAAGCCCGTCTGCAAAGTATATTTACTTTTAATTTACCTAACCTTATCTGATGTCACTTCTAAATATGGATTCACAAATATTGGCTTACACATTTGTGTAATTTTTCCTGGTTTACGATTGCCTTTGGATAGAGTAGGATGAATTTCGGTGCACAGATTTTAAAACATTTACACAGTCGTGTTTTCCACTCGGGTTATTCATATTTTTTGTATTAATCAATGATTTATTTCTTCAGCAAACGAAAAACAAAACAATATTGGTATTCGCAATGTGACATTGCGAAATCTGACTCTGACTTGTTTGTCAGTTTGTTATGAGAATTACTCATCTTAGTTTTGAGCATTGTTACAGCTTTTATCTTAATTCCATACAACACTGCTTTCGCATAAATAGAACATGATTTATATCGGTATTGTTGTTAAATACTCTTAATTTCTTCAAATTTCAAGAAAACTGTTTTGTGGCAACGCGTATTTGTATTTCTCCCTCTTTTGAAGGCTGAGATCGGCTTACAACAGAATTGACAATTTAAGCCAGAAGATTTTGATTTCATTCGATTGGATAATTTTGTGACCTCATACCAAACCTGCACCCTCACACAATCAATCAAATTAGTTCAGAATCGTCTGCTTCAGCAGGTGGTGACTCTTTGAATTTTGTTAAAACCAGTTTTAACCTTCCGAAATAGTTGTTTTAAGATTAGGCAAAATTAGTAGTATATATCCAAAGTTAAGTGTTTAAACCAAGTTCTGAAAATTCCTGGACATACTTTCTTTTTTATTTCGATAACTCATTTACACTGACTTATTAAAACTACCAGTAGAGAAGACTAAGTGCTTTCAGTATGCTTAATATAATGCAGTATAGCATTTCAAATCCTCCCTTTTTTGCTTTACAATGTGGTAAAAACCGCTAAATTTCTTTTTCGTATGTTGTTTACGAAAAAAAGGAAATTAGTCATAATCTAAACATAACCAGTGAATCTATAATATGATAAAGTAACCTACTTGAAAACACAACGGAAGAACAAATATGATTAAACTATATTTATGAAAAAGTGTAAAAGTTTTAGAAGTTAACCTAAGTTATATTTTTGACTACTTTCTGAAAACATGTTTTTACTGACTGTAAAATAGGTACTTTGATATTGTACAGGTCAGTAGGATAAAGCAGCTCGTTAAAAATAGTCCATTTTTATTATAAATATTATTAGCTGTATTGCAAAGATTGATTTCACAACAAGTGGGATCTGTTAACGATGTATTACCCATAGCTGCATAACATGATTCCACACAACTCCTTTGTACTGCACCGAAATATGCTTTATGATATCCTAACTGGAAAAGAATAATAACAAAGGGAGTTTACAATGACCAAGTAAACTTTTGAATAAAAATTGATTGAGCGAAAATGGAATACATCTTATTGATCTGAATCGTACCTAAATTACGCTTTAAACAATTGAATGAATAGAAGTTCTTGAATTCTGATTCTAGAAAGCAGCAAAAATTATCCGAATTAGGTTGTGAGCTCGGTTTTTCTAAGAATTCACCAAGTGTACGCAGTTTCTGAAGGTAAAAGTATAACTTTAATATAATAGTGCTAATCCTTAGTTTACTTACTTTATCTTGTCGCATTTCCAAGCAGCTCTGCTGATACTGTACATCAAGATGTTTAGTAAATCCATAGTTTATAGACGCAATTTTTTATATACAATCCTTGGTACTTTTTAATAATTGACTCAGCCACAGAACACTTGAAGATAACCTGTGGAATCTCACTTATGTGAACCTAACCATAATGAATGTGTACCAAATTGCCACTTTGGATTTCCTCTCTACGGCCTAAGAGGAATAATTTGTTTTACATTTGGTCATGTCTTTATTAATTTAAGATGCTTTGGCTATTTAAATATAATATTTCAGGATTTCATCATGAGCTGACATTAGTTCATGATGAAATCCTGAAATCAATCAAATCCCTACAAACCAACACTTAAATATAATATGTCGTTTAAATTTTCATGCTTTATCTGTTTGTCCAGTAATACATATAGACATAAGGATAGAAAAGGGACTAAATACGCGTAAGATAGATAAATACTAGTCATTTCTTGATGAAGTTAGTGTTGAAGATATCATGAAGCCGGTTGATGAAAGTTCTGTGGACTAAGTCCAAAGCTTGGAGAAAATTTGACAATTTCCAGTGTTGTGCTGATCAAGAAATCTCCCCTACTGTTTCGCATATTTATTTACTTATTTCTTTTGCCAAGACACTCCGTATTGTTTTGCTTAGGTATGGAATTTTCAGCATGTGATATCGGTGGCCCAAATTTTGCAGGTCGACCATTGATATCAGGTATGCGTCGGCAGGGAATCGAACCCTGGACCATGTGCATGGCCAGCGAGAGTCCTAACCACTGTGCCACCGACGCAGTATCTGTTTAACCTGTAAGCAATACAATTCGCCTCAAGTGAATTTTCTGGACCGAAAAGTTTTCTCCTTCGAAGCAAAGCTGTTATACATGATTTCATCTAATGATTTTCATTTTTATCTTAATACTAGCGGATGATTCTTTATAGAATTTCAATAAATAAAAAAATGAGACAGTTGCTTCATACAACTGAGTACTTTTATGTAAAAGATGACAATATGTTACAGGATATAATTTTATAATACAATAAAGCAAACACAGTTTGATACTTACTAGACATCCCCCGCATTCAGACTTTTTTGGTGTTCTGTGGTTTACTTCTGAACAGGCGGTACAATCATAGCAGGTCAAAGTATGATCTGATTACAATAACAACAGAAAGAGAGATCAGCATACATATGCATATAAATTTACATTTTCTAAACTTTTTTATGAATAGTACTGAAACTTATTTCATGCTACATAATTTAAACTTTTAAATATATTTCTCTAAACAACCCACAATTTTATTACCACTTGAAAACGTATGTCTAATGTAGACGGAAGATGCAGAAAACCAATTTGAAGCGAAATGTCGACGCCTGTTTCAATAGTAAGGGAAAATAAATCATCTGCAGCTGTATGTATATGAGATACACATTTCACTTCATCCTTGATATTTTCAAGAGACGGTGAATGCTAAGCTAAGTCCCAGTTTCTAATGTGTTCATTCATTGCTGCAGTTTGAGGAACAAGATTCAAAAACACAGTCTGTCATCAGAATAATGACATGATAAGTTGCAGTTTTATGTCTATTTTAGCACTTAAACACTAACAATTCGAAAGAAACCCTTTAAGAAAGCATTTTTAAAAGCGTTTATTCATGCGAAGCCTAAATACCAATAGCATCACTCTTTTTGTTTATTTTGAGAGAAAATATTTTACACTTTGAAGAATAACTCCATTTTGAAATTTAAAGCAAAGTTGACATTCGTGGATTGTATATGAATGACGTAAACGTTGAAATAGCAGTTCATTATCAAACTTTTACTTACTTCACTAATATTTCTATCATTTCACAAGAACTTCTATGAAAGTGTTCCCGACTCACTACATCTCCGCTTCTCTCCCTCCCTTCGACTTCGTTTCTTGGGCTTAGTCAATGCATATAAGCATCAGAAATATTCCTAAGACATGTGATTTCTGATAAATAATATGAGCGAGGTGAAATATCTCATACATGTAATAGGGGATTTAAAATTTCAAGTGTTGAATCATCCAAATATTACGGTGTATTGCTTAATTTCCTCCAGAAATTGTAAGGAATTACCAGTTTATATGTGTATAATGACAAAACTTATTATTGACCTTTATGCACTGTATAAATCATTATGTAGAAAACTCGTGATCCGTCCATTTAGGTGCGTTTATTAGGGTTTCATCTTATAAAACTTTCTTTCTATTTACAGACAGTGTTGGTATTAATGCCTTATTACATGATCTATCATTCTATTACTTTTTTTCTCTTTATTGCCTTAAAGTTGATATAATCTTATAATATTATCCTCCTATCATGCAATATTTTGACCAGTGATATGATGCGACATGTGATGAAAGGATACGTCAGAGTAATTTCGTCTCTCCACCGCATTGTGCAAACTCATAACAATGGTTAAACAATAAAAGTTGCAAGTTAATTGAAAAATTACTGCACTTCTACGAATAAATAAGCTGCGATAAGTAAACGCAATATGAGTAAAATACCTTTGGCCACATCTAAACGGACTGACTCAATTTACACACAAACCTGTTTTTTTGAAGATATGGGAAGTATACAAAAGTTTTAAAAAATAGAATAAGGTAGCCATTTAAATTACTCACTGGATACCATTAGGCCTTGACCATTAGAAGTTTTAAGCAGAGTTAGAAATATAACGAGTGTTTTCACCACTAGCTTCATACTTTAGCAGTAAATATGAATATTTCAAAATCCTATATCACAATTCGTATATATATACATATATCTGTATACATAAGTTTATTCGCTGGATGCAAAAGGAATACATGAAGATATAAGCACACATTGTTGCCAGTGTTATGTAGGATAATTTAAAAGTCTCTATAATCATTATACATCACTATTTAGGCATAATTTTTATTTTGTATTTACATAGTAGAAGTAGATATTCAATGATAAATATATGTAATTATCAAGAACTTGTATTTATTGATCTAAAACTGAATGGAATGTCCCTTTGACAGCAGTATGATGTGTATATGAGCTACTACTACTATTAAATCTATATAAAATAAACTGGATTAAGCCATAGAAACTGATTAGATAGCCAAGATGAGTCGAAATCAATTAGCATATGGTTTTTGGTAACTTATTCTGCCAAACAGATGATTTTCAACTTGTAAATAATGTGCTTGAATCCAGATTTTGTTATCAGTTTCTTATTCAGAGTAGTAACGTTTTCACTTATTCGAAATTATACAATAATTATTATTCCCTTGGGTTACGAGTGGGACATAGACACAGACTGTCGCGCTCACTTAAGAAGACCTTCTTCGCAATTGAACTACGACTAACCTTCTCCATCAAACCTATGATTCATGTGAACGTCAAGGATAAGCTACCACTGCTGGCCTCATCAATGTGTATTTATCATTTCACCTGCTCGTGTGGAGCCGGCTATGTCGGCCATACCCAGCCTTCGCTTCCCAAGCGTATCACCGAACACTTACCAACATGGCTATACAAAGGAGAAAAATGATGTCCCCGTAGCTCCATCTTTGAACATCTGATAGAATCTGGACACCAAGCTACACCCCAAATAAACTTCAAAGTCGTCTACAGAGTAAGAAGTAGTTTTCCTAAAGGTGTACGAATCGGACTTGTTCAAACTACAGAAGCAATGGCGATTCACTTGGTAAGTGTTGAACTCTGCATTCAGAAGAAATTCGTTCAATCACTACACTTGCAATGGATATAATCTATCTTATTACCCGACAGGCAAAATCTACCTAATCTTTTCTCTCTCTCCTGTCTCTTCATTTATATTATTTTGCTTTCTCAATTGTAATATTTTACATTTTCAACCTTCTGTTGTCTACCCCCACCCGATTTAATTTCTGCATCTCATTACCACTGTTACTGACTTGACCAACGCTCAATTTCTAGTCATTTATTTTACGTCATCCAACTTATTTGCTCAATTTCAGTTCTAATTTAAATGGCATTACTCTCTACCACACTTCTACTTAGACCCTGTCACTTACTTACCTCTGTTGCTACCCTGACCTAAGTTGAAACATTTTAGTCAATTATATTACATCATCTAACTTATTAACTGACTCAATCTTACTTTAGTTGCTGTCTAATCAGACTTGTTTCTATATTAGATCATTCTTGTATTACCTGATCAATTATCTAAACTTGACCAAAACCTCATGTACACACACACAAACAAATAATTATATATAAATGCGATTGTACAGCTACGTGAATGAATTCGCCGAAAACGGTTTCTTTGCTGAACATCTTCTCTTTTAAATAGACATTCAACAGCGCATATCCGTTTCATCATATTCTTTGCAGTCGTATTTAGCTGGCTACATAGTATTCCAAAGCTCTAATTTCGTCTTCACACCATCTTCTCCAGACAACCATCTCCCTTTCCTTTTGATTATTTGTTAAGCGGTTGGTTCGTTGCCAGATTTACCTACTTTCTATTCTTTTCATCCATCTACACTTTAGCAATGAGCCCGAGAAGGCAGCTGTAGATGCAACAGACTGTTGAAAACACTATATTTGATGTGCCTCTCATGCCTCTGAACCACATAGAAGAACTGATTTGAAATTAGTGGTGAAAATTTCAGTGCAGCAGATTTCCACATTGATTTCGGAGTAATGGATACCTGTCTTGCCTTTCTGATCCTACTTTTGACATTCTTATTTATGTCGTCTGTAGTTGAAAGGCTGCTAAGACAAGTGAAAGAGTTAACTTCCCTCAGATTTCTCCTGTTGACAAAGATTAGCGACTGTTGTATTTGATAAGCAACTTTCATCAGCTCCGTTTTATTATTAGTTTATCAGCTGGTCATAAGCTCAAAGAAAAAGAAAGCGTTGAATGTGGTCCACACCGGAATATCACCCCAGTTGCCACAGAAACTTCACTCACTAGAAATAAGGGTGAATTATTCGCAGACATTTCGCCTACA